TCTTTCTTTCTTTCTTTCTTTCTTTCTTTCTTTCTTTCTTTCTTTCTTTCTTTCTTTCTTTCTTTCTTTCTTCTAACAATCCTCACTAGGAAAAGATGCTTCAAGGTGTAAAAGTCCAGTGCTGCCAGGCAGAGGCCCTCTGTGCCCCGCGGTCACTGCTGGTCTGTAGGAGCTCTGAGTGGGCTTATTCCTAGGGTCCTTACATGATTACTTTTTAAATTCCCTTTCCCCTACAGGCTGCAGAGGCACTATTGAAACACATTATTTCCCAAAGTGGATTAAAAAATGACCCAATAAAGTTTCAACTGTCTCGGAAGAACAAGACAGTTCTCTCTGTTTTTCAGAAAGTTGTTCTCCCAAATTATCTTCTCTGGAAATGGCATGAGAAATATATAAAACAGACCCACACTCAAATGTGATGGGCATATCAGAAACTGAAGAAAAGAACTTTTGAGGAAGAGGAAAAAAAAAAAAACACTTTTTAAAAAGCAAGGATTTAAATTATTCATCAGGCCTCCCTCTGGCCTGAGTCCTTTCTTGCCTGGTGAATGGAGCGCCCCTGTGAGGATCCTCAGTGCGGGCTGGGGGCGTGTTCACTTTAGTGGGGCCTTCCTGTCAGGACTGGTTTATTCGGATCCTTTTGACCAGAACATTTGCCGCTCTCTCGGGTTTTTTTCTTCCTTTTTTTTTTTTTCTCAGCGACTGTTGCATAATGCAATATTTTATCTCTGTTTTCGACAACTTGTTGAATTTGTGCAGTTAAAATGGCTGACCTTCACCATCCTGTTATGTAATAAACCTGTCAAGTTGAATTTTGTTGAATGACTCAAAAGACGAACAGAACACTGATATCTTTTAAATACAAATTGAACACTCCATGTAATTTGTGGCTTTATGTTTTTCCAAGGAGAATGAAATGAGCTAGTTAATTGGCTGCTAGCTGACCTTTTGCTGATGTTTGCTCCGTTTAAGCATCTGCTGTGGTCAGTCATCTTCCTCCAGGGTCCAAGCTTTCTTCTATTTTAAGATGGTAGGGAATGTGTGAGGTGGGATACTGAGGCCAACGGGAAAAACAGAGGCCTTCCTTTTTTAGTACTCTTGATTTTATAGCCAATTATTTGTTCAAGTTCAGGCAGTTGGTCCTTTGCTTTGTACACATCTCTTTTCCTATGTCTGCACACACTTACTTCTATTTTTCCATGTGCTCATTTTTTCAGGTATTTGAACATGGTAAACACACTGGAGAGATCACCGTGTACAGCAGTGGAAAAGATGTCGAGTCCGACAGCCCAACTCCAGGTGACAATGCAATGCAAAGGGTAAGTAATTCTTTGTGTGAGTATGAGCATTCCCAGTCTAACTCAGAATTAATGTAAACAGTTTGTAAAATATTAGCCATCCGTTCTGCAAGGTGAAGGACAGTTGAGTGTTGACTCCCGGACCCTAACCTAGCCACGTCTCAACCATCGGCATGTTTGTATTTGATACACTGGTTTTGACACATCAAGATTGTTCTCCATTTATTCACTTATTTATTTATACTTTAAAAAAAAGAAATGCCATAATATTTGGTGGAGGATATACTGTGGGCATAGTATTTCTAAGCCAGGCATCCTGATTTATTAACATACATAGCCTCTGTCTTCCATCGTGCTCACTGGGAGCAAACCCTGCTGGTTTATCATGGGCGCTCTTACCTTTGCCTATTTTCCAGACAATTGGGATGTTTTTCAGGCAGAACCAACATGTTCAGGGTCTTTATTTTGAGCTTTTGTCTTGCATAAAAGGACATGGAACACCCCGTTGTTTACAAATTGGGGTTATGCGCCTGAGTGCACACCAGTGTCTTGTTCTCTGTTGCCTCCACTTTGTTCAGAAGCTTACTCTTTTTCCCCCTTGGCCCAGCCTCCTCAGACTTACCTTTCCCTGGATGCATTCATTACCTGATTTGTAGAACCAATCACAAAAGCTGCATCCTACTTGGGGTGGTGCTCATTGGATCACTTGCTGAACCAAGAGAAGACAGGAAAATATTACTTTAATCTGTTGGAGAAAGATCCAGAGCCTTAGCTAGTTTCTTTGTATTATCATGCCCGTGATTATAGAAATCACTATGCTGCCAAAGTCCTTCTACAATCTTCTATCTGTCTTTCAGCCTTTGGCTGTTATTCCATGGAAACTTTGTGCGTTGCATAATAACTCACTGAAATGGTGTTTTGTTTCAGTTTGCAAGTAAATGGGGTTGAGGGTTTCAGAACTTTAACTAGGGGCATCCCAGAACTCTGTTGGAGAGCCCCTTCTGATAAGCAGCCTGTTCCCTTTGGTGGACACTTGTCTCAATTGCTACCCTAAGAGGTTTCATACCCTTCTTAGATCTCGGAGCCAATTCTTATCCTGTAAAGGCCCAGTGATGATAGCTTTAAAGATAAGTGGATAAAGATGACCACAATTTTTGGTTTCCACAGCCCAGCCCTAACCAGTGATGTCCAGATGAAGGGTGCAGAGGTCCTTACCCCCCCCCCCCCCATAGGCTGTTGAATGCTCATCCCAAACACCACCTTAAAGCACAGTCTGTCACTGAGTTGGAGAAATGGAGATCGAGGCCAAACTCCTGAGAGAGTGAATTTGGTTAAGTGGTCCTTAAGTGCTGAAGAGCTCAGAGCCCACATCCTCCTCATGCCCTTGTACAGAGCTCCGCCCCAGGATAAGGCCTTAAATCTTGTATGTCTTTCTCCTTTATAAAAAAGTGATTCCTCTCGAGCAAAAAGCCTGTTGCATTAAGAAGATGACCGGCATTACATGTTTTCTGAAGTCAAAGCATAGCAACAGAACTAAGCTCAAGGGTTGAGAGCACAGGAGACTAAATGCAGAGCTCCGGGAAGACCATCTTAAACATGCTCGCACTTTTCATGAGGAAAACAAAACAATGCAGATTTTCACTAATGCTTTCACCTCCTAATCAACTAAAGACTAAAGAGAACAGATGTTGTCATTCTAACGTAGACAATTTGGCTCTGTCGGGTAAGAAATCTTAAGTTCAAGAAAATAAGACAAAATTAAAAAAATTATTTCTAGCTTTTTGATTCTCTAACTAAAAGTTTGGTGATTGACACCAGTTACCATCATTTACCTTCAATTAGGACAATGCTTAGTTCCAAGGCATTGATTCTGTGAGTGTAGTTGTTGACCAAAAAATGAGTATTGCACTTAGTCAAGAATTTATGGTTAGTGAAACAAGACACCCAAAATGTTTATGGGGACTGAAAGGTCCTCCTCCACCCCCCAGCCTGAGCATGTAGCACTCTTTAATGTTCCTTCAGTAAAAATTAACAAAAGAAAAGAGAGAGAGAGACTTAAAAGACTACATCCCTTCAGGGAGCGCAGAGTGGTAAGAAATCCAGAAGCTCAAGAACTGACAAGGAAGAGAAGAAAGGGAGGCCGGTGACAGAAGAGTGGGGGAGGGGCAGAGTGATGGATAGTGTGAGGGGCTGAGCAGGAGCAGCAAAGCTGAAACAAAGGTGACAGATGATAATGAAAGATGTCTTTTTAAAACACCTCGTGCGCCACAGTTCCGTTGGACTTACTTTACATTCGAAATGTGTTTTAAATAGGAATCCTTCATAACTTAGTCCCTGACCGCAAGCGAGACGACACTGACAGGGCTATTAAAAGGTGGGGTCGTCGCTTCACACTCTCACTCCAGTTTATGACTTACTCACAACTCGCAGACTCAGTTCCTGCGATCATTCCCAAGGTTTGCCGGGGCTTGTGATTCAAACACTCACAGAGGAGCTCTAAAAGAGGCAGCAGAAGCCCGAGAGGCATGTCGATTTTTGTTGTCCTGTTCGTGGGGCTCACTCTAACACCCACTTGCCTGAAGCTGGTCCGGGGGACAGGGAAATATAGCCTGTTGGAACAGCAAAACTTGAATCTGGCCTGGGAGAGCCTAACAAACCATGCAGTGCAGACAAGACAAGCACAGCCCTCATCAAAGCGGATGGATTGTTACCGGGTGTGGAAGCCAAATGCTCTTTCTGCAAGACTGTCACATCTGCTTTCAGGCTCTGTGCCAAAGGGTCAGGGCTCAATCACAAGCCTGTGGCACCCCCTGCTGGTTAAAAGCCCGTGCTCATTTTGTTACTTTACACCGAACTAAACATTGCCGTCATTTCACACTTCTTTTAACATTCTATATGAATTTAATTATCATTTGTTTGGACTCCATTTGTTACAGAGCAGAGACAGTTTGTTACAGATGTTCCTGTAGCTTAGGTCTTCCTCCTCATCCCCTTCACCTGCCCTCCACTTCTCAGCATCCGTCAGCGGCTGCAAAGGCTCCTCTCTCAGTTCACAAGGCCTCCTCCATTCTTCTTCAGCCGGGATTTCCGATGAGCACGGTCAAGAGATTAAGAGTCCACTGCGGTTGAGGAATGGGCAAAGCATTTGGCTTTCTTGTGGGAAAGCATACAGGTAGGAGCAAGGTGCTTATCCCGTGTGTCTTCAGTCTTACGTGGTGAGCTAATTTAGCAGAATTGAGACGCCAAGTTAGACCCTTCAGGAATTAAGAAAAAAAAAATTAATTCCAATAAAATTTAACGAACATTTTTTTTTGTAAGGCATCATTGTTTATGGAAGGAATATGACCAACTCCCCTCTCTCTCTCTCACTCTCTCTCTCTCTGACTTTCTGTCTTAAAGCCTTGTCATAGTTCTTGAGGTCTGCCTGTCAGCACAGCAAGAGGGATTTGTTCATGTCTGAGTAGTCACCTTAATGATAGCAGATGGAAACGCCACGGGGGGCCAAGCCCATCACACTGTCATTGTCACACACTGCCCTGACCTGCTTCCTCTCCTCCATTTTTTTTTGTCCCTTTTTAAAGGAGAAATGGATGGTAATTGAAAAGGATCTTAAGCAAGATTTATGAAGCTGTAGACAACATGATTCCCACTCTATCTCTATGTTTTCACAAATAAAGTCTTAACTTCCTGAGCGCCAGTGACAGGATGGCTAGGGATAAATCTCTAATGCCCAAGAGCCCTCTCCTATGAAAGCTACGTCCCTCGCAGGGCCATAGCTTATTATTATTATCATCTCACAATAATTACTGGCTATTGGCTGAGCATTGTGTAAATTTTTGTGGGTTGGTAAATTCCTGCATAAAATTATCCGTGTTTCTGAGGTAATAAAAGGGTATCATCGTATCTAGGCACCGATGAGCTGCCTTGCTTTGAACATTTCAGAGATGTGTGCATATTTTGACAGGACATACATATCCAGATGAACTTTAAAGCTGCTCATCAGGAAACTTAAACACACTTTTATTTTGGCCTATTTTTAATTATCTTAGTTTATTGTTTAGGGGTAGAATGAAATCGCATTGAGAGTAAGGTACGATTGATCTTATGTTAATGATAATGAAAACTCTATAGACTGATCTAAATATCAGCAAATGAGAGACTGATTGAATTTTGTATTTGTTCAAATTTTCAAACCTCAGGCAATAGTCTCCTTAGAAATCCATGAAGGTGTCAGGCATGCCACAAATATTGTTTTGTTCGTCCCAATAGAAAAAAAAAATCAGACACATGTTGATTTCATATGCAGTATAATGTGTAGAATTAGAATGTGCATAAAAATGCTAACAGTTACACTGGAGGCAAATTCCATGTTAATGTAAGTTATAGTGGGAGTAGAATTGCTTTCACAGTGATGAAAACAGTGATGGATTTTACAGTAGGAAGAATTTTTACAAGCCCTTCCTTCTGATGCCAAAGATGGCTCTAATCAACTGTGCATCGTTATTTCCTCTTAATGTCGCTGTCAAGGTGAAAGCAATGACTAATCCATGCTTCACCATATTTTCTATAATTTAGTATTTTTTAAAGATTAAAAATGGATCCTTGGATAATCACATTTGTGAAAAGAATAGTGAAATGCCAGGAGTCTGGAATATTCTAGAGTCAAATGATAGTTGTAGGTGGGAAGCTGTAAAAGTTCTTATATTTGTTTGTGACTCATTGTTATTTTAATTAGAGATGTAATTTTTTTCTACCTTTGAAAATAAAGCGCTAATGTGATACAGAGCATGAGATAATGATGCCAGTATCTTGCCATCAGTGGAATTTTAAAAATATGTATTTCTAAAACTGTATGATACATACTTTAAAATACACTGTGAAAATGCGTATTTGCCGAGTGAATAGTATTTGTTTTCAGGGAGTATTTTGCTGGGCAGAACTTATTTTGACACAGGGGAGTTAAAAATGAATATTTCCCCCCCCCCAATTTTGCATATTTTGAAAAATTTCAAACCTGTGACAAGTTGTAAGAATATTATAGCGAATATTTTTACAGCCTTCACTTTGAATCGCCCAGTTAATGAGCTTTCCTATTTGTTTCTCTCTCCTGAAAGTAATTGCAGACGATTATTAAAATTTTACTCCTTCAGTGCTGCTGGCAGATGGAAGAACAGGACCTTCTGTGTAAGCACACTGTGTACCTAACAGGCCATGCTAACACGTTACCACAGGTGCCGCTGAGCTAGCCTACTGTAACCCAGCCGCCAGGTATTTACTATGCTGGGTTTGGACCCCTTCAGCATCTCCTCTTAATCGAAAACTTTCCTCCCCCTTTATTCGGCTTCTCTCGTGCTTAGCTGTTTTTCAAGAATCTAAGAGCTCTTCTGGCGGTATGTTTCACACCCTGGACTTGTCTGTCTTGCGTATCGTGATTACACGCAATTTAAATACCCTTGGCAATAATATTTCACGGGAGACAACGTGGATGCCATTCTAGAGTTAAACCTTAAATATTTGTTATCGGTCTAGAGCTTATAGAGGACCATGCTTTTCGTTTACAATGTTTTCAGTTTGATTTTAACTCTCAAATTCACCTGAAAGAGTGTGTCTTGTAATAGTTAAGGAAATCAAATCACTCTAATACTTAATAACATTTAGTGAGCTTATGAAATATAGTTGTTTGTGCTCAATATTATTCATTTATTTCGTTACTAGGTTCAGCTCCACTGTGGGTACACTGAAGTAGTTACACAGGGAAAATAAATAAGGAGAACACTTTTTTTCCTCAACTGCAATCTTTCTCTGGTGCAATTGTTTTTTTAATTGCACGTTACAACCATCCTTGGCACATTTTGAACCAGCTACATAAACTAAAACATGCATTCAGTTGTCACTAGAGGAGTTCGAGAACAGCAGGCTCTGTTATATATCATCATCAAATACCTCACTGTTTATTTGTGCTCCAGTTTCAATGTGTATTATGCAGGTAGCTTTTTTTCCTTTTCTTTTTTCAGATCTCCCCTAAAGCCTGTGTTGGCTCTGACCTTTGAAGGAGCGACTGCTTTTGTCAGCGATGGTATCACTGCCGTCTAGAAGACCCTTGTGGATGCTGACACTGTTCCATTATTTGGATGCGAGGGGTAAATGAATGTATATTTAATTAAAGTAACGCATCATGTAATTCAGGATTTCCCACACTGAGAGATCTGAAACACTGACATGTTTTCTTTGAATTGCCTTAAGCAGTACCTGTTGTACGGACTTGGTTCTCAGTCTAATGGGCTCAGGCCTAAACGACTTAGCGATGTCTCTTTGTCTTAAAAGGAATAGATGGGGACAGACAACGAGCAGTTTCTGCTTCAAAGAAGTCACAATTTTGTTTGAAGTATGAAAGCTGTTCTTGGTGGTTATTTCCAAACTAATAACTTTAAGTGGATTTATTACAGTGCAAAATAGTTCTTTTCCCTCTGAACCTTCATATTTAAACCTTGAGTTTGATGAGGCTGTAATGAAAACAAATGCAATGTAGCAGGGGATCTGTGAGACAGTGGAAGGAAGGGTCAGGAATTGTTGGGAAGGTCTAGGAGGTTAGCACCACCTTGCTTGTGGCTGCCCATGAATAAATGGGTATCAGGTTTTCTCTTGAAATCGGTAAGTAATAAAAACTGTCACCTATTCAGCATTGACTTATAAATTAAAGGCATAATATTTTTATTTAATTTTCAAATGATGGTTTAACCTTGGACGTCGCTATTATCACTCCACTCTTCAGAGACTAACCAAACCAAACCAAACAACAGCAACGACAAAACCCAATTTGTCCAAGTTCACAGTGCTGGTACTTGGTGAGCCAGGGTTCTAACTGGCATCATTGGTGTTAAGGAATATAATGCCTTCCCATCATGCACTACGTGATGATGATGGCGGCACATTCTATGACCAGCCTGAGTGTGACAGATGGGACTAAGGAACTTAATTTCATAATTTATTTAAATCCTCTTAAACTTAAATAGAAATATGTAACCCGTGAGTAGCACCTTGGTCATCACAGCATGGCACCTATGCTAGGTGAGGTATGATCCCATTTAGCTTTAGTTCGGCGTAATTTAGCAAACTATGCATCTTTAGTATACAACTAAAAGGACAGAGTAAAGGGCATAACCAAAAATCCAGAAGCATTTTGATGAGGTTCACTCATTCCAAGCAGGGACAATCCATTGCTAAGTTGAAAGGACATAGACACTGGTCTTCGCAGCCCTATCTCTGTCGACTGTCTCTGCTCTTCATGCAAGGATTGCATATGGCTTCTCCTGCTCTCTCTTGCTTGGTGGAAAGTAAAATAATTCACCAGAATTCGTTTTTAATAGGCATTTTCCCACTTAATGGAAGGTTTATTTTGTGTGCAGCCATCTCCCCCTATGCTATTAAATTTGCTCGGAGCTGGCTGGTGAGATGGTTTAGGAGGTAAAAAGCACATGTGGCCCAAGCTCGGTCCATGAGTTCAACCCTCAGAACCCACATGAAGGTGGGACGAATGAACTGATTGCGAGTTTGTCCCCTGACCTCTACATGGACAGTGTGGCCACCTCTGCCACTCACACACATCATGAGGGTGTGTGTGCACACACACAAGAACAGAAATATGTTAAACAAGTCTTTGGAAGAAAATTTGCCTAGAGTTTTCCTTTAGAATTCCGCCTAGAACTTTAGATTCTCAGTTCGTGTGGTCCACTACTATATTGCTGAGCTACAGACCCTACCCTTCACGTAGTCATTTTTAATCTTGCTTCATTGGGAGCAAAAAGCATTTTGCTAAGTTGATTGGGCCTTTAAGTATGATAACGTAAAACTGCCTTTCTTTACTGCAAACTGAATGTGTTAATCGGCATATTCTATTTCTTTCTGTACTCCAAAACAGGTCTTTTTTAATCCTTAATAGTCATATTCTGCTTACATTTTTCCGAGATTTTATTTATTTTTGTGTATGAGTGTTTTTTCCTGCATGTCTCTCTGCTCACCATATCTGACAGTGTCCAGAAGAGGGTGAAAGATACCTTGAAACTGGAACCACAGTCATTTGTTACCTGGCTTGTGGGTGTTGGGAAGTGAACCCAGATCTTCTGGAAAAGTTGCTAGTGCCCTTAACCACAGAGAAATCTCTTTAACTACTCTTGTCCTTGTTTTTCATAATTTTCCAGGTTAGCGGTAGAATTGCTACTATCAATCCCAGGGTGGTTTCCTTTGTAATTTTTTTCACACGTGTACCCAGTGGAGTATACATCTACCTTCTCCTCCCCGTTAAAACTCCCCCAGCACTTCTTTCAACTTCAGGGCCTTTTTTCCCCTTCTGTTTTTCTTTTTTTGGATAGCCCATTTAATGTGAGAACTGCCTATGCCTGCACGGGTGTGAGGCCATCCCCTGGAGTGTGGGAAACCTACCGATGACCACACCCTCAATAGTGAATGATTTTTCATCTTCTCTCAACTATCCATTGCCAACGGCTCCTCTGTAAGGGGTAGGACCAGGAGACCATCTACGCCATCTGTGCTGGGATTTTGGCTGGCATGGTCTTGTGTAGCTCTTGTGCAGGTAAAACCACAGCTACTGTGAGATCATGATTGCCTTAGCTATTATGCCCAAGACAGCATTTAATAACATTTCTCCCGTCCCCTGGTTCTTATGTTCTTTCTGTCTCCTCTTCCACGATGTTCCCTAAGCAGCGGTAGTGGGAGAATTAATATCGGTGTCCTATTTTGGGCTGAGCGCTGAGTCGTTTAATTTTAGTACTTTGGCCGTTTATGAATGTCTCCAGCCAATGCTACCTACTGCAAAAAGGTTTTCTGACCAGGGTTGAGAACTGCCCAGGTTTCAGGTCATGCACATAAACATTTAAAAAGAACTTTGGTAGCATTGTTGCTTAGCATAATAATAATAGTTGATCTTTCCTACGGCCTGGACTTCCCTATCTGCGGGCTTTTGACTTCGATTACAAGGCTAGGCAGCACACTACCTCCTGAAGAGAAGGCCTCAAGTCTAATCATAAAGCAGTCAGTTCCCCCCATAGCATTTGTGCTACTAGAAATTTCATCAGTAGGAATTTCTTCCTTGCCAGGCTGGTACTACAGCATACAGGGTCCAGCGCTGGGTCAAACTATTGATGGCTTTTCTCCCTCATCAGACTATATAGCATCTTCTAACCCTATGTAGTTCATGGGAAGAAATCCCTTCCCTGGCACTTGGTTTTTATTTAGGAATCCATGTCTTCCGGGGGCCGACATTGACCACCCACACATGGTAATCTGTTCCGAATCTTTTAATTGTAGTTAAAATTGTGCACACCGGTGGCGGTACGGTACTCGGAGCACACTCCCCAACCCCCGAAACATCGGGTATCACAATCTACCCAGAGGGCTGATTTGGGGGTGGGGGTAGGGGTGCTGCAGGCGAGAGGGAGCGTTTCCAAACCCAAGTCCTGGATACCTAACTGCAGGACCTCCTGGCTGGGAGAAAGGTTAGGTGGGTGGGGACCACGCAGAAAGGGCCCTGTGGGCGTCGCTGTGGACTTGACCCTCGGACTCAGGCGGGGCCGAGGTGAACTGGGGACCACTCGGAAGCCTTAGGTGCTTCCTGTAAACTTGCTCCAGGAGGGGCGTGGCCAGCAGAGGGGGACCTGAAGGTGCAGTTTCCACCAGGCCACGCCTCACCCTGCCTGAGTCTGACCTCCTCCGGGGAAGGCCTGGACTGGTACTTTTTTCTTTTTCTTTTTTTTTTCTGCCCAGCAGCTGTACAAGGGCTTGTCAGATCTCCACCTTGGCTGCGAGTCAATGATGAAGCCCAAACCTTGGCTCTGTTGGCTGCCCGCTACCCCTTCCCAGAGGGGCATGACCTCTGACTCTGCTGGTGGTCTCCCAATATGACATCTGTCCCTCCTCAGCTGGGGCCAAGTGCTGGGTTCCTAAAATGTCACAGCATGAGTCTGGCATGCAGCGAGGGGCTTAATGCTTGCTGCAGGAAAGTCTACAGTAAACTTACTTATTTTGAAATAAGTTTACTAACTAGGGAGTTTCCATAAGGTCTTCTCATACAACCCTTGCTTTGAATAACTCACCCACTACTTTTCCCCTCCTGTAATAGTAACCTTCCGCCTTATCCCGGTGTGATCTTTTTGCTCAGCCTTCTCTCTTCCTTCTTTCCATGTGTTCTGCTTTCTTTACACTGTATCTTCTTTTTTTTTTTTTTAAGTTGGATTGTGAGGAAGTAGACTCTTACACTGCTTTTCATATCCCTTTCCTCTGAGTTACCCCTTCGTTTTACAAACCGATTTCCCCCATACCCTTTTTATAATTAAATATTTATTTTTTTATATTAGTTACAATTTATTCACTTTCAATCACAGCTGTAGCCCCTTCCCTCATTCCTTCCCAATCCCATCTCCCTACCCTCTTCTCCACCCATGCCCCTCTCCAAATCCACTGATAGGGGAGGCCCTCCTCCCCTTCCATCTGATCCTAGTCTATCAGGTCTCATCCTCATCAAGATCGGCTGCATTCTCTTCCTCTGTGGACTGGCAAGGCTGTTCTCCCCCTCCCCTGAGTGGGTTGGTGATCAAAGAGCCAGCCACTGAGTTCATGTCAGAGACAGTTCCTGTTCCCCTTACTAGGGTACCCACTTGGACACAGAGCTGCCATGGGCTACATCTGAGCAGGGATTCTAGGTTATAGCCAAGAATGGTCCTTGGTTAGGGTATCAATCTCAGAAAAGACCCCTGTGCCTAGATATTTTGAATCTGTTGTTCTTCTTGTGGAGTTCCTGACCCCTACAGGTCTTACTATCTCCCCCTTCTTTCATAAGATTTCCTGCACTCTGCCCAAAGTTTGGTTATGAGTCTCAGCCTCTGCTTTGATACACTGCTAGGTAGAGTCTTTCAGAAGTCCTCTGTGGTAGGCTCCTGTCCTGTTTCCTGTTTTCTCTTTCTTCCAATGTCCATCCTGTTTGTCTTTCTGAGTGAGGATTGATCCTCTTACCCAGGGTCTTCTTTCTTGCTTAGCTTCTTTAGGTATACAGATTTTAATATGATTATGTTATTATACATGTCTAATATCCACTTATAAGTGAGTCTATACCGTCTGTGTCTTTCTGCTTCTTGGATACCTCACTCAGGATGATCCTTTCTAGATCCCACCATTTGCCTTCACATTCCATGATTTCCTTGTTTTTACTCTTTTAGACTTCCCTGCTTAAGTATTTCCTCTGCCAGTATTACACTTCACTGCTTGCATTTTACCTAAAATCTATTACTTTTCTCTTGGTTATTGTGTCTCCCACTAAAAAAGATGCCCCTTTCTACTCAGCTGGCTTTCATGTGTGCTCCAAGTTAAACACACAAGACAACAGATTGGAATCCAGGACTCGCATGTAAGAGCACATACTGTGTTCATTTTTCTGGATTTGAGTGACCTCACCTAGTATAACCTATTTTGGTTCTACCCATTTACCTATAGATTTCATTTTCTTTACAACCAAGTCATATTTCATTGTGTGTATGTGCCACGATTTTTCTTATCCATTCACCTGGCAATGGACACTTGAGTCAATTTCATTTCCTAGCTAGTGAGACTAGAATAGCACTGAACATGAATGCGGCACGTGTCTCTGTAGAAAGATCTGAAGTCCCAAGACTGGTTTCTACTCTATCGCGTGATGGTTCGTAAGCTGTGTGCATCATGACCCCTTTGAGGGTTGCATATCCTGCATATCAGATATTTACTGGAATTATTCACAATGGTAGCAAAATTACAGTTATGAAGTAGCAACAAAATAGTTTTATGGCCAGTAGTCACCACAGTGTGAGGAATTGTAGTAAAGGGTTGCAGCACTAGGAAGGTTGAAAACCACTGCTGTATAATATGATCTAACACACCAGTGATGAGCCAGCTCATTGCTTTAGGGTAAGGATTTGATCACTTTTACATTATTTGTCTATACTAAGAGTGAAGCCCAACCTCTTTAGATTGTGTTTTCTTTTGGATTCCTATTTGTTTGTTATGCTTCTACAGAATCTCTTGAAAATTCTAAACTAACATGTTTAATCAACTAGCATAAGAAACTATCAAAAGGTACTTTGTTATCCATAGCTTGGTGTATTTGAACTTCAAACTTGGCCAAGGTAATGGTCTCTACCACAAGCAAGTCTCTATGACTATTTTTGCCATTAATAATTAATTAAGGATAGGCTCCTCAAATATCACAATTACAAGATAAAGTTTCAAAGTTTTCTCACTTACAAATGCTAACCTGCTTTACAAATCTTTTGTGTTACCCCCTTTTACAACCAGAGGATATCATTCATAAATTATGAAACTAATTAACAATATTATAGTTGACTGTTTTTATTCTAACAAAATGGATTGTAGTACCTTACTGTTCTTCGTTGGGAAGTTTGAGAGGGATTTCCAGTGCACTTTGACTGCATCAGTCAACAGATCCCAGGTTACTTTGAAGACGTGGCCTTGGAGAGCCATTCCCTATACAACAAGGTGAGACCACCGTATGTGCTATAACAGGGTGAAATGGACATATTAGGCACTCAGCTATCAAACAACAGTTATATAGTGGATTTTTTTTTAAAAAAAGATCTGTCTTACAACAGAAATAGTTTTTACTTTGGGGGGACAGCCACTTCTGTTAGGCCAATGGCTCCTGTCTGCTTCCTGTTAATTATTTCAGAACTTACACGGTTTACGGTGTTCATGCTCGGAAACATTCTGCTCGGATGGTGTCGTGTAAATCCCGCTGTCTGTCATAATCTTTCATCCAGGAATAATTAATGAGTTAGGATTCTTTTATAAAGCTTTTAAGATGCCAGTTAACTCAGACCACCCACTTGTGGACAGGCCTGAGCACTTGAATTTGGTCCCACAGACCCACACAGTGAAAGGAGAGACGTTCTTGCAAGTTGTCCTCTGACCTCCACACATTCTTAATTAATTAATTAATTAATTAATTAATTAATTAATTAATTAATTAAGATGCATGCTACCTCCTTGTACATGAGGATCTGCTTTACTGGCTCTACTGATCTAGTATCCAGTGTGTCTAATGGGGATGGATTCTTTAGAAGATCCGATTCATAGCAATGAGATCCACATCTGTTTATCAATTTGTACTTAGAAATGTATCCTCTATAACTTTTATCAATTGACCTATTGAAGACATTTAAAGTGTATCTGAAGAGGAAAAATTCTCTAGTGTTTCTTAGTTGACAACCTTTTTTTTTTGTTGTTGTTGTTGTTCAAGATTGCTATTCACATCAGCCATAAACTTTAGTTTGTGAGTCAAAGGAAAAGCTATCTTGAGCAACATCCGTGTCTGAAAGAAGCAGGACTTCTGTCCCCTCAAATGAAGCCCCTTATTTCTAGGACACAGTGCAAAGGACACATTACCCAAGCCTGCTCAACTTACTTTTTTTCATGCCACTCACTGACACTCCATTGTGCTAAAAATCTGTGCTGAATAGCTTGTGCGTTGTTGTTGTTGTTGTTTTCTAGAATCATGTGACTCAAAATAGTGTAACTAACTATAAAGATGGAAAAATGTTTCTAATTATGTTTGGTTTTGATCACATTTAGAAGACATTATAGTGGCCGGTGACCATTGTTTTAGAGTCATCTGACATCCCGGTGTGTCTGGCATAGGTCTGTTCCTCATTTGGGGTCTGCCTGGCATTATTTCCCTGTTTAAAATAAACTCGTGTGTCTGTTACCCCAGCTCTCAGTTGGCATCTCCAATCTCTCATCATCTTAGTCCTTTCTGCTGTGCTGACACCCGGAATTAGTGAGCTCTGTGTTTACAAGGCATGCATGTACGGAGGCCTGGGGTCAACTATGAGGATCTCCCTGTATTTCTTTTCACCTTATTTCTTAAGTAAAGGTCTCTCACTGCACCCACAGCTTGACAAGTTGGCTAAGCAGGTGGTCCAGCAAGCAAATGGGATCTACATCTCTCTTTATGTAGCCCAGTTCAGGTTTCTTTGGGAGCAAGTAGGGTTCATTGGTAGGTTCTACTGGAAATGCTGGGGCCAGAAGGGTTTTTATTCAACAGCACAAATTTTGTTAGCTGTTCTTTCTGAGAAGATATTGGGAGTGTTTGATCTGAGGTAAGATCCAATTCAGTGTTAGGAAGATGACTTAGGAGGCCCTGATCTTATCCTCCCAAAGATCCCTCAAGGTCAAGTACTGATCTTGCTTGTATTTGTGTCAAAATCTGTATGCACAGGGTCAGCTAAACTGAAGCAAGTTGATGAATTAATTAACTCACTCAACAGAAACCAGCTCAAACTTAAATGGAAGAACAGATATCAAACAGATACCAGGGGAAAAGAGACAGAAGGAGGTTTTTCTCTTATCCACTCTGTCCAAATGCTACTTTGTGAGATGTCATACTCTCTGATGTGAATAAGGGACGGAAAATAGTCTACAAGTATTATTATTTATTAATTGGATCTTATAACCTAGTGACAATGAAAAAATACTCATCTTAAATAAATGTTTTTGCACTATTTTATTTTTGAAAGAATACAGTGATTTTTAATAAAACTCAACCAAAACAGTAGCATGAAAAAGTAAAAAGTAAGACCTTGATAAACTGGCCAGTCAGGAGACTCTTGGCGACCCCTCTTTGCTGCGAAACCTTTAAAATCCTTTCAGTAAAGTGTCACCAATTACTTACAGAGAGGTGACCAGCACATTGAGAGTAGTAATTTAATAACCTGAAAAGGAGTTCTTTAAAGGCAGGTGCAGGCAGAGGTGACAGGCATCTACGGGACATTTTATTGTGGGATCTTGGTGCTCACTGAGGGAAAGAAGACAGTAAGAGGATTACACCAGGGGTTGAGGGAAGGAAGAAAAGCCAATATTCCCAATGCATAGGTTTTTAAGTTGGCTGGAGGTAGAGATCTCATTGCCCAGCCTCTGACTGTTCTTTTAAATCTCTTATTGACAAGTAAAACCTTTCCTACAGAGAAGTATCTGGAACATACAATCCCCATTTGCAATGTGCCCAACCACTGTAACCCCGACAATTATAGCCTGTTGCTCTTTTATCCATTTCAAAACCAGATTTGGAAGCCACTAAGAATTGACAATTTGGCACATACATCTTTCAAAATCTCTCCTATTGTTGCTTGCATTGACAACACTTGCAGATTGATTCCGTTTTAGAGCAATCAAATTATATGTTTCAGTGCAATGGATGGGATTTAAACTTCATGTTAGTTAATATAAAAAAAAACAAATTTGTGAAAAGAAAACTTAGAGGAATGGCTGGTTATGGGAGAACAGAGCAGAAAAACATGGACCCCTGTGTTTGAGACATCTTAAATTTTGCCAAAATGGAAAGAAACTAACTTTGTTTCTGGTATGTCAGGAGCTGACTTTGAAGATATAGGAGAATCTTCCTAACAACATTCTTCACAAAAATATCAAGAAAATGACCAGCTTTTAATTTTAGAGTCATGGTCTATTTGTTATAAGTTAATTGGGAAATTCAGATCTTATTGGTACCTGCAGAATGCATCCATACCTGCTAAATATGTACTTATTCTGCAGTTATTCTTTGGTCACAAGGAGGCTGAGAAAAGATAAACAGTTGCTTACAACTTGGGACTTTAAATCAATTCCCCAGTTTCTTCCTTCTTATGAGACCGGTACTGGCAGCCCCTTAAGGTCTGAATATCTAGATCTTAAGTTGCCTTCCGGGCTTTGTTGTGTAGTCATGTCTTTGCTGGCATTTTCTGCTCTCAGACTTTTTCATTTCTTGGTGAGAAAAACTGACAGGGAACAGCTGATAGGAGGACAGATATTTTATAACATTTCTCATAGTGATTCACATATAAAATTATTTAACACAGCACTGAAGTCCATCATCAAAAGTGAAATTTCAGCTAAAATTTCTAGGTAGGAGATTCTTTGTTCAAATTGAAGGTTGTGATCTGTGACTTTCTTCTTTCGTCCTTGTGATCTATGGACCTGTGGACCTGTGAGAGAAGAAGAGTGGGTGTTGAAAACACACCATCATTATTAATCACTTGAGAAAAACCAGTTTGAACTGGCTCAGCACAATACATTTATACAACAGCACAATACATTCAGGTAAGGGAGATTATAATGATCCTTTAACAAGGACTATGAATATAGGCATCTAAATGAATTAATAAGAATTTCCTTCTCAATTCATGAAAGCACTTTAGAAGGCTTTTCAAAACCAGATAGGATATATGTGCTTAGACATCAGACTTTTGCACAGGTGTGTGTGCGTGTGTGTGCGTGTGTCTGCGTGTGTGCATGCAGTAATATGTCCTGTGTGTGTATGTGTGTGTGCATGCACACACGCAGACACACACACACACACGGCATATTACTTGGTAAATTTTTGGAAATCTTCTCCCTTTAATCCTAATTTTCACGGATTTAGTAATTCTCTTTTCTTCTACAAACCATCCAGTCAAGTTGGATCATTGAGATGACTCAGTTAATTTGTCATATGAGCCTCGTGACAGAGCAGGATCTCCAGAACACACATAAAGGTGGAAGGAGAGAACCGATTTTACAAAGTTGTGCTCAGCCCTCCACATGTGTGCCAGGAACGTGTGCTCACTCATACTCACACAGCATGCTACGAGCTTACCTGCGAACACACACACACACACACACACACACACACACACACACACACACACA